ACACACACACACACACACACACACACACACACACACACACATATATATATACTGTATACAGTGCCTTGCGAAAGTATTCGGCCCCCTTGAACTTTTCAACCTTTTGCCACATTTCAGGCTTCAAACATAAAGATATAACATCTAAATTTTTTGTGAAGAATCAACAACAAGTGGGACACAATCGTGAAGTGGAATGAATTTTATTGGATGTGTCAAACTTTTTTAACAAATAAAAAACTGAAAAGTGGGGCGTGCAATATTATTTGGCCCCTTTACTTTCAGTGCAACAAACTCACTCCAGAAGTTCAGTGAGGATCTATGAATGATCCAATGTTGTCCCAATTGACTGATGATGATAAATAGAATCCACCTGTGTGTAATCAAGTCTCCAAATAAATGCACCTGCTCTGTGATAGTCTCAGGGTTCTCTTCAAAGTGCATAGAGCATCATGAAGACCAAGGAACACACCAGGCAGGTCCGGGATACTGTGTAGATGAACATATGCTGTCATATATTCATAAATTAAACGGATTCTTTCATTTTTCTGGACTGTATAATGACGTGCATTGACTTTAATAAAATGTGGACGGAAACGTGTTTATCTTTGACTCACCAACGACAGTGGGTCATTTATTTAAAAATGATTTAAACACATCATACATTTATATTAATTTGGCAATTGATTTCAACAACAACACTTATTTAGCAAGTTTTACAAGGAGGAAACAATACGGCGATTGTTTCCCTGCCTCACAACAGACATTTCTGAAAATATCTGGATTAATTTGCTAGCAGGATAGAAGAATTTTAAAGATGGAAAATGAAGTTTATCTTGAGAGAGATGGGTGAGGGAATTTGTCTGTTTTAACCAGAACGACACGCTCCTTCTAGACCAGCTTAACCCACGGTACACTTTGGTTGAGATCGACTCTTTACCTTTGCAGATGATAATTTCAGCGTTGGTGTAGAGCTTTCCTTTCAACTCTTCCAGCGTCTCCGTAAGAACAGCTAAACCTCAGGAGTCGTGAGATCATCCAGAACAGACTTTTCATAATTCCCCTGATCTTCTCCCGTTCAGCTTATTTTTCTTCCTCCAGCATCCTGAATTCCAGCCTTCTGAACTCTGGAACTGCTGTGAACTAGGAAGTGGTGCACCTTTTAAAAAGGGTCACTTCCGGTTCATTTGAGGACTTTCTGATTGGTCGATGGACCAAACAGAGGTGTGTTTTTGTGATGTAAGGTGTTATTAAAAAGTCAAGGAAAAAGATTAAGTGTTTAAGAACAGACAGAAGATTGTTATGAAGAACTCAGACTTCGTGGAGTCAATTCTCTAGTATCTTTCTGTAAAAGTTAAACATGACATTTCTTTTTCAGTAAACTTGCAGTTGACCGAAACTTGAACTTTGACCAACTTACACAACTTGCTCATTGAAGACAGAAAATCAGACAATGCATCATTAACCTGATTTCTACTTTGAATGAGGATTAACAATCATTATTACTGTTTCACAGTTGAATTAAAAATGATTAGTTCACTTCAACATTTAAAAATGGTTTGAACTAACACAATTTGATTATCAAACATTTGTAAAATAGTAATGATAATAGAAAGTAGTGTTCTTTCACTTGATTAATTCAAGAAAGAAAGTCTCAGGATGGGTCAACCTGTATTTCTGGATTCAAATCAATGAAATGACAGTTTCTGTCCCATAAGGTCCTTAAGGTCAGGATTTGACCTCAGGCCTAGTTCACTACAACTGTCATGGAGAATTTTAAAGCTGGATTTGGATACAAAGGTTTCCCAAGCTTTAAACATCCCAAGGAGCACTGTGCAAGCAATCATATTGAAATGGAAGGAGTATCAGACCACTGCAAATCTACCAAGACCCGGCCGTCCCTCTAAACTTGCATCTCAAACAAGGAGAAGACTGATCAGAGATGCAGCCAAGAGGCCCATGATCACTCTGGATGAACTGCAGAGATCTACAGCTGAGGTGGGAGAGTCTGTCCATAGGACAACAATCAGTCGTACACTGCACAAATCTGGCCTTTATGGAAGAGTGGCAAGAAGAAAACCATTTCTCAAAGATATCCATAAAAAGTGTTGTTTAAAGTTTGCCACAAGCACCTGGGAGACACACCAAACATGTGGAAGAAGGTGCTCTGGTCAGATGAAACCAAAATCAAACTGTTTGACCACAATGCAAAACGATATGTTTGGCGTAAAAGCAACACAGCTCATCACCCTGAACACACCATCCCCACTGTCAAACATGGTGGTGGCAGCATCATGGTTTGTGCCTGCTTTTCATCAGCAGGGACAGGGAAGATGGTCAGAATTGATGGGAAGATGGATGGGGCTAAATACAGGACCACTCTGGAAGAAAACCTGTTTGAGTCTGCAAGAGACCTGAGACTGGGACGGAGATTTATCTTCCAACAAGACAATGATCCAAAACATAAAGCCAAATCTACAATGGAATGGTTCACAAATAAATGTATCCAGGTGTTGGAATGGCCAAGTCAAAGTCCAGACCTGAATCCAATCGAGAATCTGTGGAAAGAGCTGAAGACTGCTGTTCACAAATGCTCTCCATCCAACCTCACTGAGCTCGAGCTGTTTTGCAGGAAGAATGGGCAAGAATTTCAGTGTCTCCATGTGCAAAACTGATAGAGACAAACCCCAAGAGACTTGCAGCTGGAACTGCAGCAAAAGGCGACGGTACAAAGTATTAACGCAAGGGGGCCGAATAATATTGCAAGCCCCACTTTTCAGTTTTTTATTTGTTAAAAAAGTTTGACACATCCAATAAATTTCATTCCATTTTACGATTGTGTCCCACTTGTTGATTCTTCACAAAACATTTTAATTTTATATATTTATGTTTTTGAAGCCTGAAATGTGGCAAAAGGTTGAAAAATTCAAGGGGGCCGAATACTTTCGCAAGGCACTGTATATACATGTATATATACTGAGGAAAATAAATATTTGAACACCCTGCGACTTTGTACGTTTTCCCACTTTGAAATCATGGAGGGGTCTGAATCTTTCATCTCGGGTGCATGTCCACTGTGAAAGGCATAATCTAAAAAAAAATCCGGAAATCACAATGTATGATTTTTTTTAATAATTCATTTGTGTGTTACTGCTGAAAATAAGTATTCGAACACCTGTGAAAATTAATGTTAATATTTGGTACAGTATCTTTGTTTGCAGTTACAGAGGTCAAAGGTTTCCTGTAGTGTTTCAGCAGGTTTGCACACACTGCAGCAGAGATTTTGGGCCATTCCTCCACACACATCTTCTCTAGATCAGCCAGGTTTCTGGGCTGTCACTGAGAAACACGGAGTTTGAGCTCCCTCCAAAGATTTTCTATAGGGTTTAGGTCTGGAGACTGGCTAGGCCACTCCAGAACCTTGATATGCTTTTTACGGAGCCACTCCTTGGTTCTCCTGGCTGTGTGCTTTGGGTCGTTGTCATGTTGGAAGACCCAGCTCATCTTCAATGCTCTAACTGAGGGAAGGAGGTTGTTCCCCAAAATCTCTCACTACATGGCCCCGGTCATCCTCTCCTTAATACAGTGCAGTCGTCCTGTCTCTTGTGCAGAAAAACACCCCCAAAGCATGATGCTCCCACCCCCATGCTTCACAGTAGGGATGGTGTTTTTGGGATGGTACTCATCATTCTTCGTCCTCCAAACACGGCGAGTGGAATTAAGACCAAAAAGTTCTATTTTGGTCTCATGTGACCACATAACTTTCTCCCATGACTCCTTTGGATCATCCAAATGGTCATGGGCAAACTTAAGACGAGCCTGGACGTGCGCTGATTTAAGCAGGGGAACCTTCCGTGCCATGCGTGATTTTAAACTATGACGTCTTAGTTTATTACCCACAGTAACCTTGGAACCAGTGGTGCCAGCTCTCTTCAGGTCATTGACCAGCTCCTCCCGTGTAGTTCTGGGCTGATTCCTCACCTTTCTTAGGATCATTGATACGCCACGAGGTGAGATCTTGCATGGAGCCCCAGTCCGAGGGAGATTGACAGTCATGTTTAGCTTCTTCCATTTTCTACTAATTGCTCCAACAGTTGATCTTTTTTCACCAAGCTGCTTGGCAATTGCCCCGTAGCCCTTTCCAGCCTTGTGGACGTCTACAATTTTGTCTCTGGTGTCTTTGGACAGCTCTTTGGTCTTAGCCATGTTAGTAGTTGGAGTCTTACTGATTGTGTGGGGTGGACCGGTGTCTTTATGTAGCTACCGACCTCCAACAGGTGCTTCTAATTTAGAATAATAAGTGGAGTGGAGGTGGACGTTATAGAGGAGGACTAACAGGTCTTTGAGGGCCAGAACTGTTGCTGATTGGCAGGTGTTCAAATATTTATTTGCAGCAGTAACACACAAATGAATTATTTAAAAAAATCATACATTGTGATTTCCGGATTTTTCTTTTAGATTATGTCTCTCACAGTGGACATGCACCTAAGATAAAAAATTCAGACCCCTCCATGATTTCTAAGTGGGAGAACTTGCAAAGTCGCAGGGTGTTCAAATACTTATTTTCCTCACTGTATATATATATATATATATATATATATATATATATATATATATATATAATCAGCTGATCAGCTGCAGCAGGGAGCTTCCACTGCACTTGTGTGTTTCACACATTGTGCAAAATCCTTTAAAATAACCAATTTAAATAAACAACGCATGGCTCATCCATCATTACACAGCAGTCCTTCAATTATCGTGGGGGTTACGTTCTAGACACCCCCGCAATAGGTGAAAATTGCCAAGTAGGAACGCTATATTTATTTCGGTTTTTTTTTTTGTTGTTTTAAGGCTTTATAAACCCTTCCCACACTCTTGCAATATTCTTAAGAATGTTCTAAACTCTTAATTTTACATAATTTCTACAACACATGTACTGTATATGCACTACACATCAATCCATCCATTATCTTTACCCGCTTCTTCCTTTTTGGGTCACTGTTGCCGATATCCATTAGTCACTGTGCAAGAGGTGGGGTACACCCTGGACAGGTCTCCAGTCCATCACAGGGACACGTAGAGACAAACAAGACAAACAACCATTCACTCTCTCACTCAGAGACAATTTAGAGTTACCAATCAGTCTAACATTAATGTTTTTGGTCTGTGGGAGGAAAGTGGAGTACCTGGAGAAAACCCACACATGCACGAAGAGAACATGCAAACTTCACCCAGAAAGGCCCCCCGGCTGGGATTTGAACCAGGTTAACCTTTGCGCTGAGAGGCGGCAGCTCTACCAACTGCGCCACGGTGCTGCATGAACTGCACAGTACTGCAAACTTTTACTCACCATCTCTGCAGATCAACAGCTTGGTTCCTGTTCGGCAGACCTACCATGCAGCATGAAGCCCACCTCCACGTCCCGGTTGATGTGCATGTGGATATTTGAGCTTCAGGATTATTTGCGACTTTCCTGCCAGTTCTGCAAGCCTAACAGACAGGGTAGATTTGCATTGCAAAATGTTCTCTCCATTTCAGCAGAAGTAAGCAGTTGGAAGCACTGTTGGCTTTTGGGTAGTGTAGTTCTTTAACTGGCATTACAGTATAGACTTATTGAAAGAAAAGTACAAAATGGCGGCGCCTATCCAAAGTTTTATAGTTTTCATTAACTTCTTATCTCGAACCATTCCAATCATGTGAGTAATTAAAATTGACTGTGAAAAACTGCGAAAGTCAAACCGCAGAGTATCGAGGGACTATATATATATCCTGATGCATGCTCAAGAGAAGGTGCTATTTAAGAGACTGAGCTGAATACAGCTCCTCAGACTGAGGAAGTCTCTCGGATGAGAGACGAAACGTTTCTACATTTTTTTGTTGATTTGCTTTGTTTTGTTTTTTTGAATGTCCAGAGGACCAGATTTAACCTTTTTAGACTATATATATATATACATATATATATAATATACATATATATATAATATACATATATATATAATATACATATATATATATATATATATATATATATATATACATACATACATACATACATATATTATTTTTTTATATGTTAGTGTGTATAAACAAACCACTCCTATAATTTGAGGAAACTATGCATTCTAATTTTTATATTGCCTAAAATCATTGTTTCCTCAAATATTAATGGTGGCCCTTGGGATGGTCAAAGTTTAGTCGACGGTGGTCAACGCCACCATTCACCACCTTCTGGCTGGAGGTGGTGAAAAATCTAAATCAGTCAGTGGGGGGTACATCGGCTTACCGCTTGTTAACTTCAATTTCTGTGCAGGGTCCTGGGGATCTGACAATCTTCTGCAGCAATTTAGCTGAATGCAGTATACACCTTTCCATCACATGACCAGACATATAGTCAAAGGAGCCAGACAATTTTTTACACTTATCAATATTTAATGTAATCTGCACATTTTTTTATTTGAAGGAACCCAGAGAGCCTGGAAAAACAGAACATTGTTGACAGCAGAAAAAAAAAAAAACTTTTACTTCATTCCAAACATCTTAAAAAGTTAAATCTGGTCCTCTGGACATTAAAAAAAAACAAACAAAAAAACAAAGCAAAACAACAACAACAACCAAAAAATTTAGAAATGTTTCGTCTTTCATCCGAAAGACTTCTTCAGTCTGAGGTGCTGTAAAGAGCTGTCTTATAAATAGCTGAATACAGCAGCTCAGATTGAAGAAGTCTTTCAGATGAAATATGGAACGTTTCTACATTTGTTGTTGTTGTTGTTTTGCTTTGTTTTGTTTTTTTGAATGACCAGAGGACCAGACTTAATTTTTTTTTATTTTTCTACCTGAATTATTGAGCATGCATCGATATTCATTCCAAACATTTATTACTTTGGGCCTAACATTACATAGAATATGGCTAAATTCATTTATTTATTTGTTTTTTTTTCATGATTAAATTATCTTTAATTACGGAATAGGTGCATGTGTGATGTTAAGTCAGTATCTCACTGGCTGCAACTGTTAGCAACTATTTATTAAACAGCCTTTGCAAGAAAGTTTTAAAACTATTTAAAAATTGGCTTCTCCAAATGTGACCACAGAGACTGCAACCAAAAACTTTATATTTCTATTTTCAAATCAATCTGAAACATTCATAACACATTGAGATTTTGTCAGTAGAACAAATTTATCTATACAAACAACTTTAATGTGCCCTCCGTCTCGTCTTCATTGTCTGAAATGTCCTCGTTCACTCAGGTTGCGTTGACCTGCTCTCAGATCTGGTGGACGTCCGATGTCAACATGGCTTTTGCTCGTCTTGAGGAAGGCTACGACATCTCCATGAGAGAGTACTACAGAAAGCATGTGTCCCAGCTCAACGCCCTGATCTCCATGCTGATTGGCCAGCTCACGCCCGAAGATCGGCAGAAGGTCATGACCATCTGCACCATCGACGTCCACGCCAGAGATGTGGTGGCCAAAATGGTGGCTCAGAAGGTGAGAAGAAAAAGCCCCGTTCACTTTTAGTTCCTCACTGTGACTGCTGCTTTAACTCAAGCTATCACCACTGAGCAATGCTCTCCAGATATTCAGACAATGTCATTACCATAATTACAGGCTGGAAAAGCATGGATTATTTTGGGCTTCATCTCCAGTCTTGGCACCAACGGTTGGTTCTTTTGTTTCTGTATAAGGTGGAGAATTCTCAGGCGTTCGTGTGGCTCTCTCAGCTGAGACATCGCTGGGATGAAATGCAGAAGCATTGTTTTGCCAACATATGTGATGCCCAGTTTCTGTACTCGTATGAATATCTGGGCAACACGCCGAGATTAGTCATCACTCCTCTGACAGACAGGTACGTGGGCAGCTTTGTTCCCCGAGCTCTAGTTTGTTCTTGGATGTCACAAATGCAGCAAATGATGAAGGATTTCCTCACGAAAAAGAGTCATTTCAGAACAATAGCTGCATTTATGTTTATTTATTCTGTCACAGAACATTGCATACATTGTTGTTTTGTTTTTTTTTTGAATGTCCAGAGGACCAGATTGAACTTTTTTGGATTGCATACATATTTAACAAATTAAAAAATAGGGTGATTCAGAGCTAAAACCAAACATTGAGAATGTAAAACTGGAGTTTTACATAGGTTGTGAAAATTTGCAACAGATAAAAAGAATATGTTTTAAAACTAGAACTAAAAGTGGCACAACGATGGCCCCCGTCGCCGAGGGATTTGAACAATAAAACTTTGTAGTTTTTGAGATTAATATTTTTCTGGACTGGAACTGAACAAGGAATGCAAGTAAATCTTAAAGTTTTTGCTGCAACATATACAAGTGTGTAGGAGTTATGAGTGAACAGAGGTAGTGGTAACAATGGTGTACCATGCCTTTTGTCCAGTGACTGCAGCAGATAGACACCAGGCCCCCAGGACCCTGCACAAAAATCTAACAAACTGTACACCAATGTCCCCCATTGCCAAGCAATTTTATTAGCTTATTATTATTTTTTGCTTGTCTGAATCAGCGCAGAGTGATAGATCCTGGCACGTGGAGGGAGCATTTTTTATCCACCACCAGGTGTGATGGTGGAGCCAGGGCGTGGACAATGGTGGCCCTGGCCACAGATTAGTCTTTGGCCACTCCAATCATTTGAGGAAACTATATTTTCAAGAAATATAAAATTAGAAAGCATAGTTTCCTCAAATGATAGACGTGGTCGGTTTACATATACAGTATTCTGGTAGTAGCCATCTTGGATGTTGACGTGGCAAGTCAGTTTTAAATAGTGATCTTTCTTATGTCTAGATGGATCTACTCACCAAAATGGAGGTGAGCATATTGCTTGTTTGTGACCAAATCAACTATACTTTTAAGTGGCATAAAACCTAGAAACATAGTTTCCTCAAATTATTCGGTGGCTGGTGGAGGCCATCTTGGATTTTGACACTGACTACCCAGTTTACGATAGTGGCCTTTCTTACGCCCATATGTAGCTGCAGAGACTGGAATTTGGTATCCCATTTATTTTTCAAGTTATAATGCTCACAAGACAGACCGAGAGAGGACGGGTGGAGGGTATGTTCAACTTCCCCTCTTTGCTGCGTGATGGGAAAATAAACAGAGACCTTCCTTTTGAGTCCCCCTTTACTTTTACTGTTATGGGACACAAACTGAAATGTCAACTGTTGTGTGGTCCTGACACAACAGTTATAGAGTTTGAAGTTTTTTATTGATTTTGAAGGATCCAAATCCATAGATGCAACAGCCACTATTCCCTTCCTCTCTTAGAGAAGTGAATTATGTTGTATTTGCTTTTGTTTTTGCTTTTTTTTCATTTGTCATCTCAGGTAAAATTCATTCTGCAGTCTAAACTGAAAGACATTTTGTGACAATAATCTATGAGTCACATAAAGTTCTCCAAGACAACTCAAACTCAAGAAATTTCACAGGTCCACCCATGTTATGGTGTTGTTATTTGGTTGACTCATTTTGCCCGCTGCTGAAGAGTAAGGCCAATAATGTCTTCAACCATGTCTGAGTGTGCCAAGGTGTGTGTGCATGTGTTTGCTTGTCATTAATGTTAACAAAATGTCTCCTGAACTACTGAATGAGTTTAGTAAAACTTGACTGTACATCCAAAACTCGTTGACATTTGGAGCCCACCCAGTTCAAGATGGATGCCACAACTTATTTACCCTAGCCTACACAAAAATGGCTATAGTTCAGTCACATTTACAGACAAGCCAAATATACATGTGGTAGTTGAGAGTCAAACATACTTTGAGCCCTACCAAATCTCACTGAATATTTTATAGTTTTGAGCAAAACTGTGATAAATCCATTTTATAGTTGTCTTCAAAATTGTAACATTGTTTTTCTTCCAGTGCATTATGCTCTAGAAGCTGGTCACACAGTTAAAAGTAGTGTCCAGAAGTTGTACATTGATGGAAATAAGACCACAGCAGGATAATTTAGGCTAATGATAACATTCACAGTTCATCGTTGTGACTTTCAGCTTGTTGAAAATGCCTTGAATTATCAAGATATCTCTAATTTAAATTGACTTATCCCCTTTTCTGCCTGAGCTTCAGAGAAAATATTGGAAAAATATGAATTGAAACTCAGTTTGAAATGTATAAACCAAAACAAGTAAATGTGCGACACACGGCCGTGCATACATGGCACATAATTAAAAATGATGCTGCAAGTGTGAATGTTCATGTTTTGAACCACTTTGGCTATGGCTGCCTCAGAGGAGTCGACGGAGGAGGGGGTGAATCCCAGAAACCACTTATCACCAGCAAACTGGTTGGTCCACCGTGTGTGTGCTGCTTGTGGGACTGAGTTTGTTGTGGCTCTTTGGACTGATGAAGTCCTTTAAATGAAGTGTGAAATGTTTTGCCCCCCAAAAAAAACAAAGTCCGGATGATTTGACTTAACTTTGTTGGATTTATTACCTGGATTTTTGAGCATGAGCTTTGATGCTGCAAGTAGTGTTCAAAATGTAAAAACATGAAGGTGTTCCTTAAATGGTTCTTATCAGAGCTGTACCGGCTGACACATTAACATCTTATCAGGACTATGATGCTATCTGGAAGTGTTTCGTGGACAAATCTCACCATCTTGCCGTCAAATGCATATGTAATGTGTAGGGATGGGCCATATCATATCGTTCACGATAATACCAGTAAAAAAAGGCTTACCCGGGAAAATAAATGATATCATGATATGCTAATTTCATGACGTAAGTTTTGTACGTCAGTGTTTGTCCCACCCCCTTAACTGAACCGAGCGCGCCAAACTACCAAACTGAACTGCACACTCCTCCATCCACCTGTCGGTACTGGCGTAATGCTAATTAGCTGGGCACAGTACTAGCTAGCTTAAATGCTAATGACAAACAATGCGCGGCTCAGCTGCGTTTATCCATCCAGCTCTAAATTGCGGCTACAGACAGTGACAGCTCAACTCAGTGTTGCCTGGTGAGAAATGTAGGATTATCGTACTAGAGACATAAAATTATCGTATTTTGAAGAAAATTATCGTACACCCATCATAACCAAAATAAGAAATCTATTTATGCATAGTAGTGATGGGCCTGCTTCCAGACTGGCTCTGCTTCTACTTTTCTTCTTTTCTTTTCCTCACTCATGAGGCGGGCGCAGCGGACTATTCAGCCAATCATGGCCGTTGTTCTGAGGCAAACGCAAACACGTCACTCGTAGGTAACATTTAGAAAAGCACGATTGGCTGGAATTTCCAGCCAATCGTACATCTGTTTGCAGACACAGATGCCTTCAGGGTTCACAAAAAAACTCCGATAGACAGTTGCGACAGGCTGATGACAACCGATTACAACCACACATTCACGGAATGGTCAAATTATTGTATATTTGGCCTTTTTAGGGATTATTGATCGTACATCGTACAGAGGGCAAAATTGTCGTACAAATACAATAATTATTGTACACCTGGCAACACTGGCTCAACTGTCTCTCCCTCCCCCCACCATCACACCTCAGCTTTTTTCTCTCCCCCCACCCCACTCTGAGCTGCCGGTGCGGGTGCAGCTCGGCTCTTAACTGCCGGTACAAACACATGCAGCTCAGCTGTGTCTCTTGAGTTCCACACTCCATGGACCAAGAAGTAATGTGTCTATAAATGTGCTTGCTGGTAGAGTTTTTTGATGTCTTAAATCATGTCCTGACAAGGACAAAATATGAAGAGATCTTTTTATAATACCACTATCCTTTCCTCATGTCTTTCCCCTTTTCTATCTAAAGAATAAGGAGCCTCGCTCCTAGGAGCTGCAGCCATGTGCACTCCACCCATCTTGCGGACGACTACAGAATATAATCTCGCCATACTTCGGTGCAATAATAATAACGCTTATTCTGATTCTGATTCCGATTCTATGTAGCTACCACAATAGAGTGAGTGAGTGCCAGCCATTCAGTCAGTCAGTGAATGAAACATAGCCATGGTTTTCTCATAGATGAGCACCAAATCTGGGACACGATTTATGCCGTGGCTGTTATGCCATTCAGTCTGATTACTGAGTCACAGAGGTGGCCTAGAGACAAGTTTTAGACGTTAAAAACAACAACAAAAACAGCAATGTCTAACTTTGTGTTGAGCGTGGAACTACAGTTGTAAACAATCCCATTGTGTCATTCAAACACAAGCAAAAAGAGAGAGAGAGAGAGAGTAAAGTGCTGTTATGGCTGTTGTGTTACTAAGCTATGCCTAGCTAACAGCTCTGGTTCCCACATTTGGTCCTGCAGCACATTGCTCTGTGTTCATTCTCACCCATTCAGCTGGCTGCTCTGAAGTTTACATATTTCTTTTTACATAACAGCACATCAAAAATGTTCTGCACACCATGGAAATGTTCTCTTGATTTCCAAGAATAAATCTTCAAATCAAATATATGTTATTCATATAGTACATAAAAAAAAAACAGCTGTTGGGATGTACAAAAAAACAGTTTTTTTTTTTTTTTTAAACTGGACTTCTATTCTTCAGAATAAAAGTCCAGTTGTTTTTGTTTATTTTTTTTATTGATCTTGACCTGGATGACTGAGAATCCATCCATCCATCCATCCATCCATCCATCCATCCATCCATCCATC